TTAAAAGCATCCACTATGCGATGATAGTTTATCTCAAAGCTACAACAGTATTCATTCTGTGAACGAATGTTAGGTACGTTATGTCTAAAGTTTGCTCTGTTCCGTTATTGAAGCACGGTAGATTGATCTACTCACCACCCACCACCGAAATATCTAGAAAACCGAATTCTAATTTGTTCGTAAATTACAAGTAGTCAGCCCAAAAGCTATTGTTTAAACAGTAATTATTGTAAGTTCGCTACAAGCCTACAATTTTTGGGTTTCCGGAGCAAAACTTACAACATACCAAACCAAAACACTGAGAAACCGAGAATGTTCAGGTTCAAAATTCTAAACGAACAAGTCCAAAATTGATTATAACAGTTATATCTATCCAAAACGGTAAAAATATAAGTATTCAGTGTAACAGTTACTCATCAGTTAAACGCTTTCACTTCCTCCTGTATCGGGTATCGACACCCTTGCCCATGAGTCATTTAGTCATTTAGTGCCAAAATATATTATTTCAGTCATAATTCGAAGAGTACTTTGAATTAAGATCCATTTTGAATGTTTTGTGTGTTTGTGAAAATCCCTCCATGTGCATACTTGACCTTTGTTCCTATTGATTCCTTTCATTGTACGTTGTTAGTTTTTGATTACATTCGAGTTGTTAATATTTGTATTTTACTGTGGTTTTTGCTTTTACTACACCTTCACTAATTCCCCGTGTTTCTTCCCGATCTGCACTTATGTTGTTTTACTTTATACTAAGTCTTGGTGGCAGGCATATTGGTTTGTTCCTGCTTTTGATTGCTTGACCTGTGTTGACTGGAATTGTGCAATTTGGTTGTGAAGTGAAGCACTCTTCCAGAATTGAAAACACACTGTGTCATAGAGCGACCAATTATTACCATTTGAACGAATCTGTACGTGGTCTATCCAGACAGGATAGAATAACATTTATTTGTTGTGATTGGTAATTTCCTTGCATCGTTTATCAACTTTCTTATTTATTGTAATTTAGATTTGATCAATTGAACAATTATTGGTTGGATAGCTGAGTGGTTATATTTGTTTAGGTAATAATGTACACATAAATTCATGATAAATTATAGAACCGTTATCGTACCCAATTACTTTGTTTTGGTTTCAAATGGGCGAGGGCGCGTATCTAACTCATCCAGACAGCTGTCCATCAGTCCAACCGTAGTTTGGATCTTACACTAATTAATGGTGTCTTTTCATAACTTTGATTTTTCTCTGATTGTACGAAAGCGACTAAGGTAAATCTAACACTTGCTGCTAAAGGGAAATAACCTAGATTTTACTACGGTAATTGTGACGAATTGTGAGCAACAAGCAAATAAATTACGAAAATTAACGTTTAATAACCAAAATCAACTACTGAGTGGAAAAGTAGCGATTCTTAAAATAACTTCATCATACCTCGGAAAAAACCTAGAGCTTATCTTTTATCAGTGTCACATCTCTTGATACCAAACTTTAACTTCACCCAACAAATACCTGCACATTATTATGCACAATACTTTGATCACACACCAATTTCTTCATAAGAAAGTTTTATGGACTCACCTCTGTAACTAGGTTGTAATTCCTCATTAACTGTCCATCTCGTGTTCAGAGCTGGCTGATATCCAAAAAATGCGTGATAATAACTGTAGCTACAGCGCACAATCAATATTTGTGACATGAAGATCGATTTAATGTCATCTGAAGGCAGATATGAGTTGAGAGGATGAAGCCTACAAAATATGGATTCTCACATGCGATATTCTCTACCGTTAACCAATTAGGAAAACATTCAACAAATACGCACAAGTTATTGCGTTTGGTAGAGAGAACAGCTCACCCTTTTTTTCTAAAACGTACGAAAGTGACGACAAATTGATCCACAACTTTACAAAAAAACAGGACCTCTTGTCATTAAATACACTGGATTCATGTTCTAAAGCCAGTCGCACCTCATACTTCATTGTCCTAAAAATTAACGGGTACAAGTTCGCCTTACTGTCACCAAGTGAGACTCTAGGTTTTGCTTACAACGTCCGACATCTCAGAGACAATCAAAGTCTGTCAAATACCGAACCTTTTGAAATCACCAAGGCAATGAGGTGTTCGAATCCAAATTATCCTGCAGTTTCAAGGACAATTCAAACCATGAGGACGCCAACAACCTATGAGCTTGCAAGTAAACATTTACTTTCGGCTTACGAGTCGCTTTTGCCTTCACATTTTTCACTAAGGAATAGGGTTTAGATTCTAGATTATGCGGCACAGTAAGCATTTGTTTCCACTGTTGTCATGTATCTTCTAAAATGAATGCTATAATGTGGTTGCTTCTTTAGACTCTGTGTAGCATGAAGAATGAGCTATTTGAATTGATCTTTACATACATAGAACCTCAGTTAAAAAGTTTAAACTTTACTCTACTGATGCCAAAAAGTGGTTATCAGTTTTGTGTAAGAATTTCGCGGTAGAGAGGACAAAAGTGCTTGGATCGATGATTAGACGTACTTGATTTATATTAATGTATTTGAATTTTAACTGAGAAAGATGAAAGAATAACCACAAATATGGTCATGATTTGTCGAGTGGTTCACAGCCGTCTTCGTCTTTGAACTACTTAAAGAACATACGACCACAGGCTGTCGGACTTCAAAAGCACAAAAGAAGTCACGTAGTCTGTTTTGTCAGATTAGGTAACTAAGTTTAATAAAGGGAAACCTATTGGCACAAATCAAATAGATAGGGGGAACTCGGAGAAAAATTCCAACTTTTGGTATGAAACCCGGCTGTAAAAATGAATAGTTTAATTAAATGCTATACGTGACGTTCAACTGAAAGTAATAGGGACATCAATTACAAGGACGGTCCAGTTGCAATAAATACAGATTTCTAGCTAAGTTCATAACCTTTGTAGCGTGGCGTCGAGTCGCGATCGACTATGAACACCGCTACAGAGAAACACGTGCCTGGATATCCATAAAATCCCGCGGAAGCCAAATATCAGAAGGCAATTAATGGACCAAGTCGAGATATATTTGCTGGCAATCTCGGGGTATCGAAAGAATACCGATATCGTGCCAGGATACAAGCTTGGTTACAGAGCGTAACCGAATTCGCGCGAGGTCACAATCAAAGTGTAAGAATAATGGATATTTTTTAGCACAGTTAAACAAAGAGCACATTAAACAGTCACTAGCACAATTGGTTATAATAATAATTGTTTTCAACAAACCAGTCGTGTTCTCGTGATAAAAGAGTCACTACACCTTTTTCACAGTTTTATTGACTTCTAGACACCTATATGATGTTGCCTGAATACACAAATATGCTGTTTGTCCCCCAAAGCACAGTAGGCTATTTGTGATTATCCGAGGAGCCTGTGTTCATAGTAGGAGTACAAACGTTAACTGGTATGGAAACTCAATACTTCTTTCCTCTAGGAATCAAATTATCCGATATTAAGTAAAATATTGTCTTGTCACCTTAGATCATACGACTACTCCGGTTGGCTCTAGATTATCACACAAAAGCTATAACTCTGGAGATTAGCCAGTAACATCGTTCCACCTAAGAGTCCGACGACGAAGATACCGATCTTGCATTGTAAACTGATTGTTTGTATACATTTGTAGGTCGCTGACTTGAAAATCAGTACCACTTGAAGTCAATAGCCTTTTTGTCCAAGAATGTAAATAGATGAACCTGAGAGAGTTAATTTGACTAGCGTGTAGTCCACACCACGAGTTTATGAAACGGCAAGGATGCCTGAGTGTGTCTTTGGTTGATTAGGTCGTAAAATAGAACGATATGGTGGAATCTCCAATATCTGTCGAGGTATTAACCTGAAAAATTGTTTATCGCAACAACGTGGTCGATTTATTAATTATATATTGGATACGTAACGTAGCTTCGAGCTCCAAATAATATGTTACTCTTCTTTAACTAGATCATGAAAGCTGATAGATTGAAGTTGGTGGTCTTCAGAGTTAAAAATAAAAACCACCTTATCGGAGTATTGGTTCGTCGAACGAAATAATTAAATATTATAACTTTTTGCCAGAACAAAAGATGTCAGTAATTTAGATGCTAAAAATATCAGGGTTAGCTGAAAGATGAATAAAAATATAGACATACGCCTCCGACTACCTGTAGTAAACCAGAAGTTATAAGTAAGTTCAATGGGAGCAAGATACATGTTCGTGCATTTATGGCGTGTAGATCACTAATGTAAATGATCTATGCTGTATGATTGGGGACCTACTAGAGTTAAATGAGAATGTTGTGACCAATAGGTAACTTCAAAGTTGAACCCTTCACTCAGCACCTAACTTGGATTATCCCTCCGTCATATCAAGGTACTATGGTTGCTTTGATACCGTAAAACACAAAGGACGTTATTACGGAAAAAATAGTAAGAATGGGTACAGAGAAAATAGTGCGACCACAACCGCATGTGCAAGTTCATGGAATACGATTAATTGATACGCGTTGGCTGTCTTTGACACTGTCGGGGGCCGATGAACTGTTCGACATTCAGTGACTCAACTACCGGACTGTTTGTCCAATGTTCAATACCAATGCACTAGCCCTTCACGAGCAGCTTCATTTCATTAGACAGTCTGAAATATCAAGCATTTTCGCACTTACTTAGTGAAAGGATGCTGAACGCAAGAGGCGAATCATTGATGAGAGATTCATTCTAAGATTTTACTTCACTTTACCTATTATTTTAGTTCGGTAAGAAAGGATGTACTCAGAAGACATGACGAAATTTTTAGATGGTTGAACTGAGGTCTCCCTGAAAAAATAGCGACTTATGTGCGATAATTATTTGCTTAGTGAATAAAAAAATTATCAAAAGTGATGGATACCAAAAGTTTATTGAACATTTTATGTTCAATACAGGTCAGTTGTATATTGGACATTAACTTCGGGTATAAATAGTTTTCTGAGTGTCGTACGGGATTTGTATTGGGATTGTAACGTGCAGTATGAGAATGTTGGGTTGGTTCTGCGCTGTAATACTGTTCACACTGTTCAGTTCTGAGTTAGTCGAGTCGAAATTTAAACCGCGAACAAACGATAAGGTATTTTACTTACAACTGGAAATATTTTCCTAGGACTTAAGTAATTCACCACATACCCATGAAGGTGAACACAGTGCAGCATATGATCATGATGCATTTCTGGGGAGAGACGAGGCCAAGAGATTCGATGATCTAACACCGGAAGAAAGCAAACAAAAACTGGGGTATTTAACGTTTTTCTTTATCCTACATAAGAGCGTTTTACGCAGACTTGCTTATTATATTGTTAATATAAGTGTTCATGTTTTTATCTGGCATGTTTGCTAGTCAGTCGCTTTTACCTGTTCCGGGTTATATTCATAAACTCAAAACGTCTTATAATCGAAATGTCTCATTTTCTATGGACTAAATCAGAGCTGTAAACAATTGTTTATAGTTAGGACTTTCCCAATTTCCATCGAGTAACATTATCGATGTACATTATCATGTGATGAGATTTGGCCTCATACTGGAGTGTGCCTCGGTGTACAAGTTTCGCGTTTAGTGTACAGCCATTATTAAGCAGGCTTACTGGCTAAATCACTTCGGTTGTTGGATCAAAACTGTTCCTAACTTACGCTTCATAGCAACCCCTTCAAACATATGGTTGGGCGCATTTTCTGACCAGGCACTTAGTATTAGTCCGTCATGCTCAGGAACGATGGATACTCCGTTCTCGGTCTTCAAAAATAAACATTGCACAAAACACAAGAACTGATAGCTATCATCGTTCAGTGGTTTTAAGTTTTTGAATATTATTTTTCAGTGAGATTGTGGACAAAATTGATTTAAATAATGATGGTCAAATCACTTCCGAAGAAATGACTGTATGGATTAACAAAGTATCCAGAAAAATGCTCCTTGATGATGTTGATCGCGCTTGGAAAGATTTTGAATTGCTAGACGAAGACAAGTTGCCATGGGAGAAACATGTTGATGAGCTGTTTGGTGAAGACGGAGATTTAGAGGGTACGTTAACTTCTCATTTATTTTATACACTATAGGTCTATCGTCTACCATACATTATGTCCAGGTTCATTTCTATCTTATAACAAAATTTTAATTGTATTTTCAGATGAAGATGATGAAACAAAGAAAGCCTATTCTGAAAAAGACAAGAGGCGTTGGATGGCTGCCGATGCAGACGGAGATGGGAAGCTATCAAAACTAGAATACTTAGCATTCCTTCATCCAGAGCATGAACCAAAAATGCGAGATGTCGTTATAAAGGTTAGCCCTGTGACAAACGATAAAAACAACTTGTATTTACTCCGCAATCATACGCTTACTCAAAAATACCCTATATTCACTTGCGAATAATTCCATAACATTCAAGTTATTTGGAGCGGTGTATGCCCTGTGGATTATAGTAATTCTACTTAGACCGTAATTTATAGTTTTTATTAGCCCAAAAATCTATGTTGGACCTACTTGAGCCTATCACACCTCATGGAGAAGTGTAGACCTCCCAACCTGGATTTTCCATTAAACACAGTCCTAAATAATGCTTTCCAGTTGCTATTCGTTTATTTGATATCCACTTCCAATTTCTAACGCAGCGTGTTCCTTGGTCTTCTTCTTTTTGTCCCCCTTCACGATCCCTAATTGGCGCTTGTTTAGTGTTCTATCCACTTCAAACGTCGTTTTCTAATTTCCTCTTCAACTGGAAGCTGGTTCGTTCTCTGCTACAGTAGGTTGTTGCTGATGGCATCTGGTCAACGAACATTGAGTACCTTGCGTAAAACATTGTTTATAAATAAGTAAAAACCAATAAACTGATGCAGAAAACTGCTGCTACTCTGTATACCTCGACCCTCATTCGTTGGTGTGTATGGGATAGAAAAGCTAGGTTATCTTTGAAGTCCAAATCATCTAGTTGCATCTAAGCTGTCCATTGTTTTCCATGCTTCACCTGAAATGTGGAGGTCTCTTCACAATCCACCCGACCACGAGAAGACAGAGAAGGGGCGAGAGTAAGCAGCCTTGTCTGACACAGATCTTCACTTATAATGAGTGTCAGCCGTCATCTATGCACGACTTAGCAGTGTAGTCCGTCGTATGAATTCTGTTTGGTATTGACGGTTTTCCATGTTAATTTCTTGTTGCGTATAGTTGTTTGATATTTCTTTCTCTTGCTGCTTTTCACACTGTCATTGCTAGGTGTTCTACGTATTTCTGCTTGTTGGCTGTAATGCTCCTCTTCACCCTCTTGTTTATTTCTGTGTACTCGGTCTGTGGCATGGTTTCCTCTACCCTTGTTCGACTGTTGTTAATTGCTATCTTCTTCCTTTCTTAAGTCTTGGTAATGGTTTCGACCGAGATGCATTACTTATGATGATGCTTCTTACGGCCTAGAATCTCCTGACACGTTGAAGTTAGTGCTTCTCTGATCCCTTTCCAGTTGTTCTCCATAGTAGTTTCCTCTTCTTTTAGTAGGTCATGTAAGGCTTGAAACCCGTTTCTGAGAGCTATCTTGAATTCGTTGAGTTTGTCAGTATATCGAATAAAGGCTATACAGAATTTGTTTAATGCTGAGTCTCCAGTTGTCCAGTGTTTCTTTAGCTTCAATTCCTTGTTGGTCACAACCAGGTGGTGGTGATTTGAAGGTGTCAGCTTTTTTTCCTGGTTCTTCCATTTATCTTCTGGATGTTTTAGTGATGCAAATATGATCGATCTAATTCTCTGTAGTGTGATCTCGTGAGATCCATATAACTTTGTGTATGAGTTTGTGTAGGAATACTGTCACCTTCAACCGTTTTGTTGAATGCACATAAATCTGCAAATCTTTCTTCATTCTCATTCCTTTTTCCTAATCAGTTCATGTCTCATTATATCTTCCTACTTGGTATTGTCCATTCGGACCTTGGCGTTAAGGTCTCCTATCAGGATGGTCAGGTCCTTTCTTGGGCGCCTCTCTATAGCCGACTTTCGCCTCTCATTAGACTGATGTTTACCGTCTTAACTGCTAACATTGGTGGGTCCATAGCACTGAACAACATTCATTGTGATCCCTTTTGTCTTTGCTTTCAAAGAAGGTTTGATTATTCTAGATCCATGAGATTTCCATCCTATAGGTGTTTTACGTGCTTTAGACAGCATCAGTGCAACTTCCTGCGCGTAAAACGTCACAATTCTGAATGAAGATCCCTCAACTTGGAGGGCTGAGTTTAAAGTTTAAATTGTTTATTCTGGTTAGCACCTTTTAGCAAGGTTGTTTTCTACAGGATGGAGTTGCTGACCCTACTCCTTTACCCGGGCTAGGGACCGGCAGTAACCCTAGAAGAGCTGTAGATGTTGCTAAGTTAAACATATCCATGGAATTTTGTAATCGGTAGTAGTCGAGATGATTATTGAATAACTTGTTGCAAATGCTTGGGACATTTTTGTACTTCAGTGAGAAGTCCCTCAGCACTGAGCCACAAACTAATCATTGCTTTTAAGACTCACAAGTTAGAGTGATTTCCAGTCAAATATGCACATTTATCTGGTCCAAATTAAACATATATGAATACTTATTATTGTCTAACACAAATACCAAGTTTATCGTTAAAAAAGTAAGCACAACAGCTTCAGTTTCATCTCTAATGTAAATAATTACTTCAAGTTACATTAAGTTTTTAGACACTTTGTGGTTCAACTATTTTATTTGCTTTTACAAACCTAGGAAACAATGGAAGAAATTGACAAAAATAATGATAGCTTCGTTGATCTTGATGAATATATCAGTAAGTTTTCACTGTTGATGTATTTCTTCAGATTTTTATGTCGGAAATATTCGGTCGTCAAATTTTTAATCGAATTGTTATTTTCAAACTATTTTTGGCTAAACTACTGATAGTATAACTTTTAAGGTAGGCAGAATAAGCCTGTTAATGAAGTTGTAGATGTCCATTGATTTATATGGTTTTGTCCTTTTCTAGGTATTCTAAATCAACAAGGCCTTTATAAGTGAAGAACATCCGTAGATTGCTAGTATCTGACCATAAGTACCCTTAAAGCATATGATAGGACCACCTGTTACCTAACAATATACGTGTAGAGTGCTAAGCAAAGATGGTAAGTCGACTGATAAGATAGTGGATCCTCATCAACCGACATGGTCGGGACTACTTGCATTCAACCACCTCTTACTTTGACACGATATTTCTTGATGTAGCAGATTGAGGGAAAAATATAGGTAACCAATTCATGATACCGGTCCATGAAGTTATTTTTAGTTAGTTATGTTAGTGGGTGCTGATCATGTAGGTCAGGTCCGCGCTATTGTAGCTAATAATTGGGTTACAATCAGCCTCAGTGGTGCACATACACTCATTCTTTGTCTCTCCTTAAGTTCTGAGTTCCAAAGTTATTTTGTATTTTTCATTCCCGCAAACTAGTTCTCGAATCACATTCTCTATGCTTAATTTGCTTTTCTAACACTGATATTACTACTTTCACTACGTTGATATATATATCTTTATGTTCACGTGCTGTGGCGTGGCAATGTGGACCGATGCATATATTTATTAGTTTCTATATTGCTTTCGACTAACTTTGTCCGCCCCTGATAGTAGTGGAACTAGGTGTAAGAAGGCTAAGGGTTATCAGGTTTATATGTACTACTGGTTTATGGAGTCTCTATCTCTTGGTTTAAATTGTGGTACAACTGAGTAGGATCGCTAACAAAACCAGCGATCGAATACAAATGCTGTGAAACTATTCGATCAAATTTAGACGAAAGTTCTTACGTATTATCCATGGTTTATTTCCCGATTCTTAAATATTTTACTACCTATTTCGACTAATTGACAGACTAATATTGTGATCAGTCGAGATTATCACGGGCTTTACCACTAAAAGGTTATTCGTTAGTAATAACGGAACAATTAGGTATTTTACTGTTAATCATCTTTAATACTGAAGTTTTATATGGGCGGGTAGTCAACTAAAATACTCGTTAAGTCTACAGATTGTCGCAGAAGGTACAGAAACTAGTTGAGCACATAATGGGGCAAAAAATTATCCAGTTGATTCTAAAATGGGAATATTTAAGTCAAACTTTAATGTCAAGTAGAATTAATTCTCTCACACTGATTAAATACTTGAGGACTTTGGTCTTCAAACAGTATTTTTTCATTCATCTGACTACTGGTAAATTAGCTTGAAGAGTTAGTGAAGTTTTACGCTTCATCATTGATTTTTTGTTGGTACTCTAAGTATCTTTATTCGATGTTTATTGGGAATTTGTCTTGTAGAAGATCTGTGGTCTCCGAATTCACCTAATGAAACGGAGCCTGAATGGGTTAAAACTGAAAGAGAGGAATTTGCCAAACGACGCGATATTAATGGGGATGGAAAACTGGATCTGGATGAGGTCGGCAAATGGATCGTACCTGAAGATTACAATCATGTCCAAGCAGAAGTAACCCATTTATTCTCAGAATCAGATGCAGATCAGGTAGAGCTTATGTTGATCATTGTGCCTTCGTAATTTTTCGTAAATATGATCTCAGATATGACTAGTGTCTTTATAATACTTGTCAGTTTGCCATTGTAGGTTTTTGTTGCTATTTATATCGAGAGACTTAAAAGGTAAGATGGCTCTTAATTGTTTTCCATGCTAATCGTAACCAAAAAAATAGTTTAATATTGAACTCTGAAAATTTCCGGATCTAGAGAAGTATTTTCATTCGAATAACATGTGATAAATAGTATGTTATCCTTTTCGGGAAAGCCTTCTTTATGCTAGTGTCAGCAATATAGACTTGTACAATTATGACCATCCCCGTCATTTACAATGGTTACCAACTATCATTTTGTGTATGGGATACATATCGATCTAATTTGTTCTCGGTAGAAACGAATTTTACTCAAACTTTTATTTTGTCAAATATATATCGCGTATTTTTTAAAATTTCTGTTAATATTATTTAGGATGGAAAACTCAGCAAAAACGAAATACTCAATCGTTACGACTTATTTGTTGGTAGCCAGGCAACCAATTTTGGGGAAATCCTAATTGGTCATGATGAGTTATAACAATGTGAAATCTGTCAGTGAAGTAATCCGACAACAGACTGTCTGTTAAATATCTTAAGGATCTTTTTCTTTTAAAAGTCTAACATTTTCTTGGTTCATAGTTTCTATCAGTTATTATACGTTATTACCTCTATTGCACAAACACCGTTAATTCATATGTTCTTGTTAATCAACACAAACTTTCAAAAATACCTGATTAATCAAGTGTGTCAATAAAATTTGTTGAAGGTCGTACATTTTACAAGTGCCTATTCTAGCGCTTATTTTGTTTTTATCTTACAAACAATTTCGTCCATATTTTATTCTCTTGAGCTATCCGTTTATTTTCATGTTTTATACTTTTTAATCGTTTATTTGTATATGAATCAAAATAGTTTATTTGCCAGCTTCATTTTTAGTTGATCTCTTTTGTGCGCATGCTTGTCATTAATATGTTTTGTAATGTATAAAAATATATTATTGCTTTACATGTATTTATTTTTGATGTTCAAAAATATGACTGATTTACTCATTGTTTAAAGAAATCTAAGTTTAGTGTTATTTTCTCGATTATTAAAAACTGCTATTCGTAAGTTAATGCAAGTTTGGTCAATCTTGTGTAAGCTTCAGTTGCTCCCGAGATCGTTTATAATTGCTGACTCTCATCCCACACCTGTATGTATTATTCCCATTATTTGTGATTGTTGAATAACTAACAGTCTACTACTAAAGGGTTTCACAGACTAATTAACCTTTACTTCTGCAGACAGAAAGTCAATTATTTGACTCCCCCTCATATACCCTTGTTTTCATAAAATACACCCATGCTATGATAAATAATGCATCACGGTTGACAGTAACCAGTCATGCGTAACACAGCTTCATCAACCAGCTTTCTATCTCTACCTAGTACCCTTCATCTGTCCTCCACATTACTCTTTTTTTTAATTGCAACATATGCGGGCTAGTTTCATAGAACTAGTGAGTTATCGGTTCATGGAACGTGGTCATGACCTAAATCCAAAGTCTTAGTACTTGTAAAGTTGTCCAATATATTAAGAAAGGAAAATTAGGTCCATTTAGTTCCTTTATATTTTGCCCGATTTAGAGTTAAGCTACTCATAAGTAGCTCACTATTTCTACGGCGAAACATGGTTTTACTAAGACTGAAAATTACACCCTTATTGAGATGCGAATTTCCTATCACCACTGTGATAAAACTCACTTGTATTCCAATTTCATGTAAAGTTTTCATCAAACCATTTTTGGTTATGCGTTATTCAAAGTGATTTTTAGGTTTGTAAATATATATCAAAATGATTGGAAACGAATGCGGACTGAGATTGACTAAGGTAATAGTGAACCTTAGTTATCTGGTTATTTTAGCCAGTGTAAGAACTGTCGTGTTTGATTTATACCTCGTTTTCATATAATTGTGCTAACATATGTGAAAAGAATCGAAAAATGTGAGAACAGATGCTGTATCTTTCTTACATTATGACAATCTTTTCGCTAAACGAGAAGACAAATTTAGAATTTATCTTAGATTTTGACAGTTTTTTGTCTCTATATCTGAATCTTAATTGTTACACTGATATGGAAGGTACAATAAATACTATTTCGTTAGTGATTATAGGTGGCCTCTTAAAATTATTTCCACATTTAAAAAGCTTCAAACTGTGGCTAATGGGTACTAAATTTTAATTACTCCGAATAATATATATGTAAAAACGCCCCCAAATGCCCTAGTATGGTCGGGAGTGGGGTGGGCCCGTCCTGCCTCTCGAAATTCTCTCACACGGGCACACGTATACAGCCTCTGCCAGAGATGTCCTACTCACTGCCTACTCGTGGCGGGGGTGCTGTTTACGAAATTGAGAGGACGAAAAGCGAATGTCCGGCGCTTTAACCGGATTCCAAATCAATGGTGCACATGGGCTCCAGTATCCTGCGGGAACAAATGGCGTATGAACCAGTCGTTGGTCACCGGCTACCATGGGACTGCATCTCCTTACGATGCTGCACTGCCTTATGGGTTAGACCTTTGGCCAATGGCTCGGGGTGTGGTCCTCTAAGAAAACCACCTTCTTCGGTTGGGGCACCCGGGCAGTATCACAGCCCTCACAAAAATCGAATGATTTATGTGGCGCATATCTACTTGATGCCTCCTTGTACCAATGTTTATGTGTTTAAATAAATAAATAATGTAAAAATAAGTATGTGTTATTAATACCTATGAAAGTAACTGACATTTTAGTTTTGTTTTCGGTTGTTAATTATTTAGATTGACTAGAAAGATTATTATTGTCGCTAAGAAAGGAATAGGGATTGAGGAGGGACGCTGATTATGAATACAGTGGTCTTGAATGCTGTTAGAGGTAGCTGATTGACTTATTGTCGCTACTTCATCCTTTGTAGGAATAACAAGTACTTTCACATTTGACTGACAATTTTTTCACTGAAATTAGCTGTTTGATATTATGTTGCCTCGTGAATCGTAAGTAGGTAGTTTAACTCAGCCGTAATGAATAATGAGCTGATGTTTAATATCCTAAGTAGTCATTCACTCAGTTACAACGTAGGACCAGGCACACACATGCATTGGTCCAAGTTGCCACACCTCATTATCACAGCGAGACGAACACCGGATTCATAGAAGCAGTTAACTCAATGGTGTAATATATAAAGGAATGATTTTATGTAAGGATGTAGTACAGAAAGAAAGATGTGAAATAATTTTGGTCTCATAGTTAAAGAGTGTATACACCTACGACATCGTGATCGATTCTGAGCCATGTCACCAAGAGTCTCCAATCATTGGTTACGATAGTCACGCGGACCCCAACCAAGTAGTCTGCATCTACCAACATGGCAAAGACTAGAGGTTAGTGTCTTCAAGCACTGATGCCACGTTTTGGTTTGGCCGCCTCTAACTTTCTTACAACCATCTCCAACACCGGTTAGCATTGCACGTCGTGGTAATCGGTGTTCAGGCATACGTAACACGTGGCTCAACCATCTCAGTCGATGAAGATACCATCATTCCCTAATACCCTGCATCTAACCTCACTATTACTTACCCGGTGATCCCAGCAGATTCGACCAATATTTCTAAGGCATCTGTGTTCAAATATTAGTAACTAAGAGTATCTTCTACTCTTGATGGCCACGCTTTGCAGCCGAAAAGTAGAACAGAACGGACTGCCGCACAGTATGTTCGTCCCTTAATTGATAGACGGATATCTCACCTTGGCCATAGGTGACGTCAGTTGGCAAACGCCAAATGAGCTTTTCGAATCCGTGCTGAGATTTCGTCAGACACCAACCCATTAGGGCTGATCATTCTTCCAAGATAAATGAAGTTTTCAACTCATTCGACAACTTCACTCCCTATCTTTAGTTCAGGTGTTGACGCAGACCAGTCCTGAAGCAACAAGTTGCATTTAGAGGGAGAGAAGCGCATTCCAAACATCCTGGCATTGTTGTTCAGTGCTACCAGAAGACTGTGCATTTTATCAGCGTTTTCACCAAACAGGACTATATCATCTGCGTATTCTAATTCGATAAGGTGACCTCCTGGAAGGAGATTAATACCACAGAACTCAGTAGACGAGAACGTTATTTCCATCAGTATGTCTATGATGAAGTTGAACAAAAATGTAGAAAGTGTACAGTCTTAACGGACACCACTTGAGGTTGCAAAAGCAGATGACAGCTCGCCATAAGCTCTGACTCGATTAGTAGTGTTCGAGTAGAGAGCCTTCACAAGGTTTATGTACTTCTGGGGTACACCTTTCAGTGACGGACACTGCCACAGAACCTCTCGGTCTACAGAGTCAAATGCTGCTTTTAAGTCAAGAAAGACCACCATCGTCGGACGCTGATAAGTATGCCTGTGTTCTAGAACCTGACGAATGGTGAGTACGTGGTCGATGCAGCCACGACCAGGTCTGAAGCCAGCCTGATTTTCTCGTGTTTGCAGTTCACGAGTCTTAGTTCGGCGCCCGATAATTTTGAGGCTAGTATTTTAGATGCTATATTAGTCAAACTAATCCCTCTATGGTTGTTACAGGTTGATTTTAACCCTCTCTTATATATTGGGACGATAATTGATTGTGACCAGTCAGATGGAATAACGTCTAACTCCCAGATCTTAGCTAAAATATTAGTCAACCTAATCGCTAAAATTGAACCACCATTCTTAAAGACTTCTGGAGCCAATCCATCTGCCCTTCCTCGTTTCAGATTAACTATAGCCTTTTGGACTTCTGCTAGAGTTTGGGGACCTAGTTCAATGTTCCATTCACACTGTTTGGGAATGGAGGGTAGTTGTAGAGTATCTGAAGGCCAGCTGAACTTTCATTTTCACGTACCTCTCGAAGAACCCTTTCGCGGTATGGGCAACTGGAAAGTGATTACCGCCATCATACCTCCAATAGCACTCTAGACCACTGTATTCATAATCAACCTCCCTCTTTAATTTCTATATATATATATATATATATATATATATTGCAAAGAAGAAAGCCTACATTTCATTTTTTTAAAATATTGAACTGAATAAAAAGAAATCTTTCTGAACTATTGTTCAAATACCAATTGTACTAAAAACTTGTGACTAAAAGCTCTATCGTGACAAACCTGTCATGATGCGTATATAACAACAGGGACTGATTGGTTTTAGCGCCAAACATCACCAACGCGAAGGTATAAACTCTTACTAATACCATCTTAGCCAAAGACGTTGGTGATCATCCGGTCTCAGTGGTTTAAATGATAATGTTATTTGAAGCGAAAGTTATTAGGCTTGAATAACAGTGTGAACTTCAACTCTCGAACGTAGGTAAATCTAACTGACAAATTTCAAATAGAATGAGATACGTTTCTTGGATTCTATTGTTAGTTACATACCAGATATACTAAAGCGTTTAGATATTTATTTGAAGTTAAGTGCCAGTTAGAATAAAAAAAGCGGATTAAGTTTTATTCACGTACATTCTTCTGCACTTGTTACCTTTGGTGTATTAAGTTTCATTCCCCACAGATTTCCAATTGTTCTTTAGATGAAGTCAGTCTGTGATGGAAACCAACTTCACAAAAACCAAACCTATTCATCATCTTTTTTAAGTGAAGACTTATGGGTTGAGTAAATTCCACAGAGTGGTATTATCTCATTTTTATTCTTTACTTTGTGAAAAATCGTTTATTACTCACATCACTTGTTAATAAACAAACAAACTTCTCTGTCAACTGAAAATCTTCCCTGGGTTCGAGTCCCGCGTGCGCGCTGCTGAGGGGTCCCATACTGGGACGAAACAGCTGTCCAATACTCCTTGGTTTTCAATCGTGGTCTAGCTTAGATCTACTCATGAATTCGACTATTAAAATTACTACAATCTCTACGAACTCCCATTCTGATAAAAAAATTTGTCGTCTATAATTTTAAGTTTCCAAGTAAAATCATCTACGTTAAAATCAAAATTTAATATTAAATAATCTTAATTAAGTTTGAACAGAAAATCGAAATTAAAATCTATGACTTTTTCCAAGTGATTATAAATTATCATAGGAATCAGTGCTCCAAGTTGTTTTTAAGAATATCATTACTCAATTCGTTTCAAAATCCTAGATCTCCCATCACCACTACTAGATCGTTTCAAGTCTCACCCTACGAAAGGCAAAATGACGTTTTTTTACGTGGGTGGAATTTGAATTTGAGCTATTTTTACTTTCCTATTTGATAAAGTGATGCAAGGTATATCTGTCAGTCTCTCATCTTTTGTTAAATTAAATGTTTCCTAACTAGTTTGTAGTAGTGAGGACAAGGATATTTTGTGGCTGTCCTTACTACAAATATCTGACCATTTTGAATAATACGGTCATCACTGCATAAGCAGACATGTGGATGTTAATATTGGATAAACAAACAGACCATACATCAGTAGTTTCGATTTTTCAAAACATGTGAGAAATATGGATAAACCATGATTATTGGTTTAATAACAGACGCTGAGTAACTCAATTTCCACGTGTATATTTGTACATTTAATTATTTGAAATCTAAAGAACTGAAGTTGTGCTGATGACACTTATACAAGATGTCTTTAATCTCAGATTGTGTGTTATTCTCTATGTCAAGGTATCCCGATTACATATATGATTTGAGAAATGAGTTTTAAATTTAATCCAATTGCATTTATTAGTCGTCGAAGTTCGAAAGTTCAGGCTAAGAAACGCAGTGAATCAGCTGATCAAACATCATTAAGTCAGAATGATAGCGATAATGAATTTCAGAGTCCCGTGGTCAGATCTCGTACAAGACCTTCAAAGAAAATCTCATCCGGACAAGATCCAAAATCTTTCCCTTCATCTTCTATTCGAGCTCAGGTACTTGCAAGTCTCAGAAGAACTCGAAGTCCTAATCGTAAAGCTCATCAAAAGTCGGTCAGGGCAATATCTGTTCCACCAAGTACGATTGAAAATAATACCTCAACCCACATCAATAGTACCGTTACTAGTACCACTATTAATGATCATTGTAAAGTAGCAAGTGTAGTTAGTTCAAAATTTGGCGAACGACAAACAAATGAATGTGAATCTCCAGCACCTCTAGCTCAAGATGATTGTTTTGAATTAACAGATATGTCGGATGTAGAAAGTGATCCTATGCATAAATCTCAAACATTTCAGCGGTCAACAAGTGATGAAAACAAGAAGCTAAAAACAACAATTGGAACAATGGATGATAATGAATCTAATACACCGGTTGGATCACAATCACAATCTCTTGAAAATATTAATATCGGGTCGAATAATCTATCGTCCAGTGTACGTGATAATTACAATGATAATAAAAATGAAATTGACAAAAACATTTTATCAACTTATACGTATGACAGTACAGATTTACAATATGAATCGGAAGGAGAGAATTCGATGGAAAATGGGTATGCAATCTATGCAAATAATAACAATTATTTTGATGATGATAAAAGTGTAACAAAATTAGTTGTTGAATATGAAATCGACTATCCTGTGATTGATCATACTGATTATGATGACGTCTTATCATTTACTAATGAAACACCAAAGCAATCCTCATTATCTAGTGATAATGAGGAGGAACACGATATAGGAGAACAAGATGATGAAAGTAAAAAAAGTATTCCAAGTTCAATGAATCAATCAATCACATCTATAAAACAGCCAGATAAAGAAGAGGATGCAAACAAAGAAAATATACAGTGCGATACTAGAAATGTATACCAAGACGAAACTGATGATCGGCAATATGTTCCTAGTCATTCAGAAGACGATTATTATAGATATGATGAAGAAAATCAACAACCACTAGTTATAACTATTGAGAAGGAACAAAACATTCGAGTAAATGAAACTAACTATAGTAAAGAAGTACAGGAACAAGAGAATATTGATCAGTATGAATCAAGTAATGAAGAACTAAGTCAAGATCCATTTTCGCTTACTAAATTAACTGCTTACAATTCAGAGTGGGAAAATATGCGTGATAACAGAGACACTTATTTAACAACACCTTCAATCATTATCACATGTGCATCTACTGAAAGCTTGATGAAAATAAATAATGAAAATAGTTTAACACCTCCAATGAGACCACCACCACCTCCAGTCCCTCCATCGCCTTCTCATTCAGTAAGTACACCCAAACGTCCATCACCACCTAAAGAATTACCGCCAAGACCACAGCATCCTCAATCTACAACAACTAGTCATCATGATACTAGCAAAAGAGACGTAAAAAGGATAAACTTTTTGGGTTAGTCGATCTTGGTGAGTTTATCACATTTTTCAGTAATTTTGTGGATTTGAAACTTTATGATATCGGGAAACCATTCCTCAAACTTAAGCTATAAAATTTTGTGCCTTATTTCAGCGAATTGATCTTAGCTAGCCGACCTAGTAAAAATATCTTGGATATGAGCTTATTGTTAAAATTCATTAAATGTTATTAATGTGAGAAATTATTGAATTTTCAATGTAAAAACAACTTGCATTAACACTGAAACTTTCATACTTTAATAAACATATAAAAACATGGAAGTATGATTTATATGATATCGTTTATAAGAAATGTATATTGATTAATGTACACGTCAAACTAACTAATAGGGGAACGTGATAAGAGCTATAAACCCAGGGTTTTGTAATTGTTTTTGTAAATAGACTGATTTTGTTGACGAGGAACGAGTCATGAACCGTTAGTTTAATTACAGCATGATGGTTATAAGTTTGAATTCAAGAACGAGTTTGTGTTCTTTTTTAGTCAACATCCAGGAAATTCCTAGAACCAATTTGGAAACACCTTTGATGTTTTTATTCTAATATATCACTCGATTAATTAAATTAGATATATGCCGTATGACAATTGGTTCTCAAAAAGGAAAGAATACAGAATGATTGTATTCCTGAAGATGTGCCTCCCTTTAGAGTTTTTTTTGTTTCATTTAGGCTAGTTGTGAATGTCAAGTCAAATAAATACCATATACATTTAGAAGTCATTATTATTGTTCTTTAATCCTCGTCATGCTAGCTAATTCAGGTTTAGCTACACAGTCCTTCTACTGAAACGATGTTTATTTTATACCTCTAAAGGTGATTTCTAACATTCTGATTTATTTCCAGAAGAATAAACGAATTCAAACTAATATGAAAAGTAATAAGATTATAACAGTTAGGTCAAATAATCACATTGTTTCAATTTTCTCAGGCTAATGACTAAAATTTAGTCCACACAAGAGGTATTCCCAGAACAGACTGCATCATCAGTTGTAAAGATTTCAAGCAGACATTTTCTTTAACTGGAAATAATTTTACATTCTGAAGTTCATAAATTACAATAGTATTTTATGATTCTCATTTGTCTATTGATTTAAGTTAATCAACAATAGAAAAGTACTTATTATCTGTTGATTTCAGTAGTTCATAAATATCTTTATCCTTGAATATAAACTATCTCCAATTTTTCAAACTTTTTCCCACATACTTTGAATTGACAATATTGGCTAAAAGATAGTTAAGAGCAGAATGATAAACAACAAGTCAGATTGTAATAAGATGAATGTACAATATTAGAGGACATTATTGTAAGTAATGATAAATTTGAGTTCCTTTCAGTGTCTCTTATCAGATTGTCTAGCAATGAACGGTTAGCGAACTCTTATTAGGATTAATTTTATAAGGAAATAAATTTCAGTTATATAACAGAACATGTATATTGTTTAATAATCCACTTTGGATGTCTATGCTAGGCCTTAGGCTAAAACAAACGTGTTTCAGGAAGTATACTCATACAATCTATATACTCAAATAGAAGTTTGTGTAGTTACACAGTATTTGGGGGTCGAGTTAGTGTGAGACATTAAAGAGGAAGAATGTATTTGTAAAATATCAGTGAAAGGATTTGAAGTAAATCCAACGTTTCTCTTGGCAATCTGGTCCAAGCTTTTCAAATGCTTTCGCTGAGATTTTACAAATATATTATTCCACTTTAGAAGTTTGTGTATTTGCATTTGAGCTTACTACTCAATTGTTGAAAAATTGAGTCCTTAAATTATTGAGATACGATTTTGAATTTACAAGTAGCTAATGTAAACACTATCTGGAGTAAAGACAGCAATGAGATTGATGGATAATGTACTATTTCTTCTAAAACAATAGGACCAAGTTAGTTAGTCCGTTCCCATTAAGCAGTTTCTTTTAATGACCAAGTAAATAAACCAAAGTAATTTGAATAATTTTAAATATTAATTAGACACAAACATCATCAAGAAATGGTATCTGTATAGAAAATATCATGTCACTAATTGACTTTCGTTGGGAAACTAGTGAAAACCAGGAAGCACCGGATAGCTAATTCCTCCCAATGTGAGACACCTCGGCAGCGAACATACACGAATCCACGAGTTATCAAACCCAAGATCTTTAGGCTTCATGGAAAGCTCTTAACCTTCAGATCAGTACAATGCCACAAGTGTTTACATTTTAACAATATTGGGTGTGAGACAAATATAATCAATGACAATTAATGGTGTTTATAAAATATCACAAAATGACTGAAATAATGACTTAATAGTTTCCTTGTGTTTTTTGGACTTCAATGGTTGTCTTAACAAGGTCAGTTTGTGAAGTAAATCTCCAAATTCAGCAGTCTCAACAACATTCTATAATCATAACTATAAAAAACCAAGGCTGTTATATAATTGCTTTACCCTGAAGTTTTGATAAGAATTTGATTATCCTAATAATTTAAGTTAGAACATAATATTTGTTTAATTCTATTGTAAGGTGGCTTTGTAGTGAACAAGAACACCAGTGAGGAAAAACGAATGTATGTAAACATAAAATTACAGAATCTCTTAGCAAAATTTTAGAATCATACAGTAAATACTTAATTTGCAAAATATCAATCAATTGTCTTAAACTTGATCGTTCCTTTGTAAATGTCAATCATTTGTCTCAGACTTCACTGTTCTTTCATTTTCATACCAATCGCTTTCTGTTCTCGTTCTTTCCTTCTCTATCATTTTGATCTTCCGCTGCCATACATTCTATTCCTGACTAGTGTTATTTACTACTTATGTCAAGATAAGTAGCACACACCACAGTGTTATGATTGCTCAGTATAACTATAATCAATAAATACAGTATGTTCAGCTCTATTCTCTAAGATAAACAAAAGAATAATAATAAAGAAAAACAAAATAGGCGATGCCTTTAAATATCTATGAATTGTTAATCTATTTAAAAAAAAATACTAATGTCGGTCAAATAGAATTAAATTGCCAATTTTTTACATTGACTAATAATTGATTTATGTTTATTCACTATGTTTATTATATACTTGAGAAATAAACAATGGGAAAAATAAACAAATAATAGTAAATCAAACACTTTTTTCCCATTCCATTCTGTTTTTGTTTTTATCTATTTTAACAACAAAATATCGAATAAATAATTATCATAAATAAAACAACATTTTAATGATTTACTTTGATATGTAAATAATAATAATAATAATAATAATAATTCGAATTCAAAAGAAGGGAATTGTGGACATTGACTACGGGTTCATTATGGACAAAAATGTTAAGGCATACTATTTCACCTGTCGTCTTTAATTAAAAAAGGTTGTTTTATTGCGCCAAATCTATATCATTGAATGCAATAATTAAAAATATTAGAATATTGACTAGGTATTTAACTGTAGTTCATATATGTATATATACATAAGTCATCAATTCTTTAAATTTAAAACGTCTATCAATATGAAAGTAAATATGTTAGTTTATAGGCGGGTAAATTAATCATTTTTAATGCTAGACAACTTGTAGTGTGTCATAATTCGATATATTTAATTACAATTGAATATGCCTTTGAACAGACTTTTCATAATCATAACTTCATATTTGAATATTAGGTATTTGATATATAAACCATTTTATTATAAGATTGTGTTTTGCAATGAATTTTTTAATGGAAAACAAATTAAAAAGATTTTTGTTAGCTGTTTATTGGTCTGTCAGTAATCAACTCGATCACTGATGCTCATTCATAATAAGTATTTAAGCAATAAACAGAAAATTTTCCATGAATTTTAAGTTATTTTTAATTGCGTATGAATAATTCCTAAATAATACAGAATATTTGTTAGATATTTCATCTTAATTATGAGTTATTCATATTAATATTATATTGAAATAGAATAGATGGAATGTGGCTAACAGTGGAATCCAAGAATCTACTGCTAGACACATTTCATTTATCCTATATGAATTTGTGTTATCATGACTATATAGAGGTAATTCACAAAGGATGCCCATATGCCAACCAAGATTGATCAAATTTCAGTCAAAAATATCAATAACGGGATAACCCGAACCATTTCAAATCGAATTATACTATTGGAATGTTAACTATTTGTAGTAATTTACTGTCTATCTTTCAGTGTATTATTAAATAAAGTAGAAAAAGCTTGAGAATAATCACAAAGTTAACTGATATATTATTAGTGTATAACGTTACTGATTTCTAATTTCAGTCACGTACAGAATTATTGATTTTGACATGATGGAAAAGATTTAACTTAGTTGATATCACTTAAACTATTCTGGTTATAGAATATATTTTTTCTGTTTACTTATCACTGAATATTATAAACTTTTATATTCTCTGAAGTGTTTAACAACAGTTTTTTGGTCATTTATAATAACACATCATTATGTAAGGTTTGATGTTAAATCAGCCAACTTATCAATCGACATTCATTTAAAAATATTCATGATGAAGGATCACGTCAGTCAGTCAGTCAGCTACAAAGTAGGACCAGGCACATATATGCATCGGTCCAGGTTGCCATACCTCATTAACACAACAAAATGGACACCGAATTGATAAAAGTAGTTAATTCAGAGGTGGTAATATATATAAAAGAAAGATTGCAATAAGGATATAGTACAGGAACAAAGAATTAGTTCTTAGAAAGAAAAATATGAAGCAATTTTAATCTCTTAGTTTAAGGGAAGACAGAGAGTGTATACACCGACGCCATCGTGATCGATTCTGAGCCATGTCACCAAGAATCTCCAACCATTGGTTACGATAGTCAATCAAGTAGTCTGCATCTAGCAATATGGCTCAGACTAGAGGTTAGTGTCTTCAAGCACTGATGCCACGTTTTGGTTTGGCCGCCTCTAACTTTCTTACAACCATCTCCAACACCGGTTAGCATTGCACGTCGTGGTAATCGGTGTTCAGGCATACGTAACACGTGG